GTGCGGGCCGGGCCGTGGCGCGTCGTTCTCGGGGGCTGCCCGCCCAGAGAGCGGAACCCCCTTAAGGAGGTTTTTGATTAGAAGGAGCGTTAAAATGCTGTATTTTGTGGCAGGGTTTTTATTTTCCTCAATTTTGTTTGGAAGAGGGGGTCTCTACGGGCGGCACTGTAAGAATTTTTAAGAGGTCAGCCTTGCGTTGCGGTTTCGTAACTTAATTGATAAAACTGGTTGGCGTTTTCTTATGGGGAAGTGCGATGATGCTGCTTTCAAAGATCTTATATAGGCGTTTATTTTAACGTCGTCCTTCCTTACCACTGTAGCCTGCTGCATGCGATTGAGTAAATGCAAGAACGTACGGAAAGCCAGGAAGTCTCATTACCACAGTAAACAATATATGTGTTTTCATCTTAATTATGCTTTTAAATTTTAAATTATTAATCACTACAGTAAGTATTGTTGCAACTAGGTTCCAGTTGGGGAAAGAATCTAAGGTTCACCTTCTAAGAACTTGTATGACCAAGGTGCAGTGGACCTCAGAAATGCTGAGGAGCCACTGCTGCCAGTTGTTTTCAGAAGTTAGGCATGATTGTTTACACCTATAAAATGACATAACCGAAACAAGAGATTAGCTTCTGGAAATAATTTCAGTGACCTCTCCAGCTTCACAAAATAAGTCAGTGACAAAATTGGAACTTGGATTTTGGAAGAGCTGTATGTATGTGTGGACATATTTCAAATTGGTGTACGCACAAATTGGCAATTCTGTACTTTTAAGAAGTTTATGTAACCTAAATAAACTACTCTTACAAAATTTCACATAGGTTCAATTATCAAATATAAATTCTTGCTCTCTAAGCTTTTACAGTACCACTCCTAAATCAAAAAAACTCCATCTCTTTGTTCAACTAGTTTTAAAAGAACAAAAATCTCTCCAACAACCTAGGAGTCTGAACAGCCTCAGGTTTCTTAACTTGCTGTTTTGCATCACATGCAGCCATCCTTTTTGTACTTAACACTCCTATTTGCTGTCCCCCTCTGTAAACCAAATGGGAACAACAAAATTCTGAGTTTTTAACCTCTTTTAACTGGCAAGCTTAGTGGAAGGAGAGTGTGAAGGGGATGAGCCAGAATAGGAAATAATTTTACTGTGGCTACTTGCCAGACTGTGGTATCCAAGTATATATTTTCATGGTGCTTGGTGAACAACAGACTAAGGTTCTGGAGACCTACTTGTATCTCTAGTTGACCCTAAGGATGGAACACGTAGACTTTACATTAGTACAAAGCAGCAGTTTTACAAGCAGACAAATACACTGTGTAATAAGTTCTTTCTGGAGTGTTATGGAAAAACAGAGACAATAATTGAGCCGAGCAATATATTGGAAGAGGGATTGGATAACTGCCAAGAATGTGTATATCAATCAGTAATTGAGAGGAGTGTTTACTTATAAAAAAATGCTGGGTAGTGTGTGGGATAACTAGTTACACAGTCTCTTTTATTTCCAGCAGATTGAAAGATTGCAAACAACTGTCCTGCAAAAACGAGGGGGAAAACCCAATCCTACATGGTAACAATGAGGTAAGTTGGGAGGGTTTTTTTAGACTACAATAATTTACATTCCTGTTTTCAAGCATGGCATATGCACTGTGGAAAAAAAAGATCAAAGCTGTGAAAAAACACACAGATACTCTCAAAAATTGTAATGGATGGGGCTGTCCTGGATCACTTAATTTGATCAGAATTCCTTGCTGAAAGCCTAAAAATTACTAATGGAGTGACATGAGCAATATGTACCAACAAATAACTGTTGACTAGTAAGCTTAGAATATTCATCTTGTGTTGTAATTCATAGCAATCTTGCAAGTAAAGTGGGAAGAACAGATATAGATGACACATCATTTGAGGTGCAAACTATGGAATGCAGTGGCTGCTGGATCCTGTTGTGTTTACAATTTGTAAATGTCTGGAGAACGGGGAGTGCTACCTCAGAGGCATGAATTTTAGGGCTGCCTTTGTAGGAGCTGCTTTTAAAGAGCTCCTGTTTAGATCCAAAATCCAATCCAGGAGGATCCACAAACACCCGCTTTACACCGAGGCTGCTCCACCAATTAGCTGATAGGTGGCACCTAACATTTCCAGTTTCTGCTGAGTTCTGGATTTAGCAGAGCAGCCGTTACTGCTGTGGCTGTATTCCTACATTACTCCATTTGGCATGTTTCTTTTGCTCCACCTGTCATAGACCCTCAGTATGATCAACATTGTCTTTTCCACATTAATAACCACTATCAAGCAGATATGCAAACTGTTGGCAAAATGTTCAGCAGATCAGTGATAAACATTGTTCATTCTGTGTATCATGCCTGAGCAATAGAAAAAGAAAGAGCATTTCACTTCCTCCTTTATGCCAGAGTTCTGGAGGAGGCCTCTTCTCTTCATGTTGTTTCCCAGCTAAAGCAGAGCTCCTGCAGTGTTGAATATACTCTGTACAAATGTGCTTTCTGATTTCTGTTGGATGGGTTTGGTGTGCTATGTAGATGTGCCATCAGAAATGCAGTATTGAGAAAATAAGAGATGCTGAACAATCTAAAGAATTACTCTGAATTTATTTTCACATAACAAATTCAAAGTTAACAAAAAGAATTTAAGAGCAAATAAATGATAGAAAATGAGTACCTGGAGTGTCTGTCTGGATAGTTGAAAGTAATTGGCCCAAGTCCTAAAACCTGCCTTATTTGTTTACTTAAACTACTTCATATTGTGTGAGTTTTGCTCAAGTCAGGGAGATACCTCTGTGTGAGATTAATGACTTTTCATTTCCTGTTACTTGTTTTGAAGGTATTTTCACTTCTGTAAGCTTCCAGGAAGAGTTATGGGAATCCGCCTACTACGCTTCACTTCTGTGGTGATCATTGTCTTACTTCTTGTGGCAGGTGCTTTAACAGCTTTGCTTCCCAATATCAAAGATGACAAAATGCCCAATTTGAGAAGAGAACCAAAAACCCAGAGTCAGCCTGCCTTGGATTCATTTACTCTTATTATGCAGACATATAATAGAACTGACTTACTGCTAAAGCTTTTAAATCATTATCAAGCCATCCCTCACCTACATAAAATAATTGTCGTGTGGAACAACATTGGTGAGAAGATACCAGAGGAAATGTGGAATTCCCTGGGGCCTCATCCTGTCCCTGTTGTCTTTAAAGTTCAAAGTGTAAATCGCATGAGGAATAGGCTTCAGAATTTCCCTGAGCTGGAAACAAAAGGTAATCAGCGGTTGACATCATTACTACTAATATTATTTTCTCACTTAAAATCCGGATGCTAAAAGCAAGACTTTGAGTTATACTATATAATAAATCCATGGATTTGTTTGGTCACATGATAGAATCTGAGTAAGACACAAGATCCCTGTGATATGATGTCAGGTGCACACACCACACACACCACTCTGCCAGCAGGGCAGAGGCTGGCAATGAAGAGTAAGGGGAAAAAAAAAGGGGGAGGGGGACTGTCAAACACATTTCATGGGCTTTTCCAGCTGTGTTGGCTCTCCGTTTCCTTTGTCAGGCAAACATTGATAGTTCAGCTTCTCTACACTGTAACCTGAAATTCATAGTGCATGTATTTCTTCAGTTTCTGCATTAATTTGGACTTAAGTCTCTGGTGAAGAGTTGATTTAATCCAATCATTTTAAGACTAAGTTCTCAAGCATGTTCTGCTCTTCAGAGAAGCTCCCCTCTCTAGCTGTCTGGCTTTGTCTCCCAAATTATGCATTCTTTTTAAGAGTATTTTCCACAGTCTTTCAGCTGTTCATCTAAATATTCTTCCTAAGCTCTTTCCAGGAGAAGCACAACAATAAGTCCTGTTTGTTTCAAGTGGAAAAAAACCCATATGTTGCATTACAGACCTGACCTTACTCATGATTAGTAAAGGTAATTCCATTTACTGCCCCCTTCCTAACATGCCTTGCTACTCAAAACCCATGATTCCAATGAGGACACTAGAAACTTCAACTTCTCAAGAGTTTTGTTTACTACAATAGGATTTATGCTGACGGCAAACTTAAAAGCTTCAATGCATCTGGAGATCCGATCTGATAATATCTTTCTTCTCCCTTTCTTGATAGTCTTTTGCCTAGAATTTAAGGCAGAGATTCTTCCTTCTGTAGTTCTAGCGAATGTTGCCTTTGCTGCTATCAAGTATCTTATCTAGAACTTGCAACTAATGAGAAGATGGGTAAAATTTAATACTGAGAATCCCTTGTAAATCTCATACGCTAAAGAATGGTACCTAACTCTTTCTTTTAGTTTAGAAATTTAAGTTGCTCTGCCAAACACTCTAGTTTTCCAGCACGCATCTGGCCAACCATACTACAGATGATCAAAGGTTTCTGAGTTTTGTTGCAGCCTGGCAAATAATCTAAAATTTGTGTTTGTTCTGGTTACAAAAAAAGCTACAACCTTGCTTTTGCTCTGAAATCTAAATACAGTTTTCTCAGTATGCTTCCAAGGAGTTAAAATTAAGCTCTCCAATTCACCTTAATGGTTATAGAAGTTTCACAGCTAACATGTCAAATACTGTGCTGCTTACTGTGCTCATCTGTTTAATCTTTTGATAAGTTAAAAGTTTTTCTTTTTTTTTCCTTCCTTCAGCTGTTTTGATGATGGATGATGATACACTAGTCAGTGCTCATGACCTTGCTTTTGCCTTTTCTGTTTGGCAGGTAATGTTTTGCACCTTGGCAGGTAGTATTTGTGAGTTGCAATTGAGATTAATGGGTTTAATTAGAGTAACACTACATTGTATTGTTTTACCACCGATTTTCTAACTGTACAGCTAAATTTTAGAGTGATTGAATAGTAGAAATTGCAAAAATATTCTTCAGTAGTAGCTATACCTGTAATCTGTAACTTTCAGATTTTTAACTCTTCTTGTACGTGAACACTGATGTTACTGACTACGGAATTGATTTAAATTGGTAGTAGGCTAAACAACAAAAGCATGTGGCTTTTTTCTCTCCAAGAGAAATCGTCTCTAAACTTGCTTTGAGTGCCAAATATACAGCTGGAAATTGTGGATAAATGTTTATTTGCACTACATGATGTGGAATGAGGCATATTGTGTCAATTTTGTAAAACTGTATTTAATTACAACATTTATGCAGATCAAAGGACCATATGCCACAGTCTTAAGTCTTTTCTGGCAGTAATCTTGTGCCCTCTAATTTAAAAAAACAAACAAACATAGATTTCTCTTATAAAAATACTTAACACACATCTTCATTTCACTGTGTGGGCTTCATTTTGATTTTTAAAATTTCTTTTCTTTCAGCAATTTCCAGATCATATAGTGGGATTTGTTCCTAGAAAGCACATTTCTACTCCTTCAGGTGTATACAGTTATGGCAGCTTCGAACTGCAGAACCCTGGATTTGGAAATGGAGATCAGTATTCTATGGTTCTTATTGGTGCAGCGTTCTTTCACAGTGAGTATTTAGAAGACTTTCAAAGACAGCCAGAAGCTGTTTATGCATTAATAGATGAAACTCAAAATTGTGATGATATTGCCATGAATTTTCTGGTAGCCAAGCGTACTGGAAAGCCTTCAGGAGTGTTTGTGAAGCCAGTGGATATAAGAAATTTAGAAAAAGACACTAACAGTGGCTATTCTGGAATGTGGCACCGAGCTGAGCATTTGTTACAGAGATCCTACTGTGTAAATAAACTGGTTAATATTTATGATGGCATGCCTTTAAAATACTCGAATATCATGATTTCTCAGTTTGGTTTTCCTAATTATGCCAATCACAAAAATAAAATGTAAGCAAATGAATTTAAGGAGTTAGATGTTAAACAAGACTCAGTGTATTGTACTGAGTTGAAGGAGAGGAGAAGGTGTAATTACTGCATCTTGGCCATCCCCATGTGTAGTTTCTGAATTCTTCCTTATGGCACTCTAGGTATTTCCTTTCTTACTAATTCTTCATTATAAGTTTTGAGAAAACTTAAAAGAATTTAATATTTAGCTGTGATAAAATTACCCTCTTTCCTTTAAGCCTGAAAAGCTATTACAATTAATTAGATCAGTTCTTCCTAAACATGCAGACAAAAATACACTCCTTACACTTCAGTGCTTAGGTTTTAATTTTATTTTTTTTTTAAATACATGTATCTAGTCAAATGAGGTCTAGGCATATTTTTGGTAGTTATATGTTGAGATGCTTCCTTGCCTTCTTCCCCTGTCCCTCACCTCCTCCTACGCAGTTATCAGTGAAACTGTAGAAGGGCTACAGTAAACTCTTGGCCAGGCTTCATGACTCCTGTACAAAACCCCTCTGAAGTTTGCATATAAGCTGTTCTGTACTGGGAGATGTTCCTGAAGCTGCTATGAAAATAAGCCAGGAAAAGAGTACCTCACCTTTATCTCAGTCCTAAAACCACTACCTACAATACCTAGTACTGCTGAGACAGTGGAAAATGATCACTGATGTGGCTTTTTCAATAAGTTTGCCTAGAGCTGCTGAAACACTGCAAGCAGCTGAAAGGTACAGCCCAGCAGTTGGAAATATAAGAAACATGAATACATGAAATATGAAACTTCAATAAGCAGTCAGAAGGAATGGATGTGTTATTACTTGTATTAATAGTCCATTTAGTACTTATTTTTATATTTTGCATGTACACTGTTACAAAAATGTGCCCAAGAAAATCCTCACTTTTTAAAATGTCTTATTTACAATTCCTAATAAGAGCAAGCTAGTCTACATTTATTACAGAGTGTACATTTTGTAATACTAGAGGTGTACTGTTTTTTTTTTTTTACTACTCTTTCAAATTAGTATTTACTTTTTGATTCTGTTCACCTTTGGTTTTAGTGGCTATAACAACAGAATTAAAATGTGCAACGAGTGGGTAAAGCATTGTTTCTTTTAAAAAAAAAGTACTTTAAGGTACAGTGATATTTGACAGAGCTGAACTGTTTCAAGTCTCTGAATCCCCTGGCTTCATCTATGGCAAGAAACAGCTGTTAGGAGCAGCTTTTGTTAGATTGTGACGGTAGTTCTGGAAACATTGTGTTAACGTAGACAGGACAGACTTTTTCCATTGCAGTTACAGAATTTTTTTGTGGCATGGAGGAAAGTACAAAACACAAGTGTTTTTCCTGGATCACAGAGAGGAATCAAGCCTGGCATCCAAAGTAGATTTAGTTTCATCTGCATTATCTTTTAATTGATTCTCAGTATCAGTTCAAAAGTATAGGTCATCCGCCTAATACAGCTAATACTTAGTACACAAATAGCACCTGCAAAAAGGTGTATGATTTTGTCAGTTTTTGTAATAAGTTAGCTGAACAAGTGCTTGACAAATGCAACAAGTTCTGTCAAGCAGGGCCAATTCTGAGTGTGATTCATTGGGTTTCTTTGGGGGGAATAGAGGATTCTTTTGCCTTGTTCTGTCAGTGTTAAAGGATTTGGTTTCTGTTCAATTGATGTCTTCCTAGTACTTTTGTAAAATTTAAAGGGCAAAATCCTAATGTGGCAATGTAAAGTCTGCTTAATTTTGTTATAATAGTGAAAAGTAGGTTTTAATTACTGTGCTGCAGTGGTAAGCGCTACACAACCAGGTCTATGATCTTTCCAGAAATGCAACTTTCCTAGTGGTTGTTTACTGCATTTTGTTTACTTGCTGGTCTTCTGTAATTTCTGCTCTGTGCAGTATCAACTAGAATTGTGAAGACTGACAGGTGTTGTTTACTGTACTTTTAAAATGTGAAAAGAACTGTCAACTCAGCCAAATCTTACTATTGGGTTCTTTGTCAGGAGGGAAGGAGTTGTTCTGGGTTGTTTGGATTTTTTGGTTCTTCTGTATCGGTGGAGGAATTAGTAGAACAAGTTTTTATTATACTGGTCAATTTAATTTGTACCATTGTCAAATAAAATACATAAAACTGATTTGTGATGTATTATTTTCTGATTATTGACCAAGTTTTTCAGTGTTATATGTCTTGAGTAAGTTAACAGTTTGCATACCAAAAAAAACCAAAAAGCAACCAAAATCCAAAGTGATAGAATTAAGCAGTTAGTCTTGGATAGCAAAAGTCAAAATTAAGACTTAAGTTCTAGCCATAATTCATTGTTCTTAGGAACCAAAAGGGGTTTGTTAATTTTTTAAAGGCTGGTAACTTTGTATCCCTTGATGGATATAAAAGTGCCCTAAGACTTTAATGAAATATATTACTGAGAATTTGTTTTAAACAAAATAATAGGCATGTGATGATTTCTTCCAAGAGATTGCCTAGATGTTATTTGGAAGTATTTTTGAGTCTCAACAGACTCATCACCACCTCTGAATGTTCTGTAGAAATTAAAGTTTATGTGCACAAGAGTTTTAAAAAGGTATGTAAAAGATCTGTTTCAAAAATCCCTGTTGAAAAAAAAGATTTAATCTTAAAATGATGCAACAGGACTACAAGAAAAATATTGCTTTACCTGCAGTTAAAATGCAAGAAGTTATCACTGTAACTTTGATACCTGATATAAAATATTAAAAATAGAGTTCATTATAAAACCAAAATTGTATAAGGTGAAAACATTCTTAAAGCAAGCATTGTACAAGGTGAAATTAGATAATCATGCAAGCTATGAGACAAATATTGGAACTGAAAAAATATAGAGGTTATTTTGTACATATTTTTACAAGGGAGAAAGATTATTTGAAGTATTTTCTATGCTTACAAAAGCTCTAGCTAATTGCAACAGATGAGAACTTTTATGCAACCAAAACCATATTTGTAATTTTGCAAAAGGTATATAAGCAATATGCAAACAACTTTTTGACAGTGGGGTTTCAGTTTCTAGTCGTTTGCCTTCTAGGTTCACCAGCCTAGCTAGACAGATTTATAAATATTAGGCTTTAACACAAAGTAGTATCTAAGCACTACAAAACAATTGCAGAAGATAAGTATTTTCTGTAGTACTTCCAGCACATTTGTAAGGCTTTAAAGATTATCCAGTGCTTATGACAGTAGATTAAAAATTGAACAGTCTGAAGTGTTTCACGTTCATGTTGAACTGCATCTGCAGACTACAGTTAATTATATGAACTGCTAGTTGCAGGAGGATGTTTATAGTGTTCAGAAAACACAGTGAGGTAACGTGGACCTTAGGGCTGCATACTGCTTTGTATTATGATGGGTTTTTTAGGGTGTTTTAAGTGTGGGTTATTTTGTATTGGGGAAAAATAGCACTTTTTCTTTTTTCTCAACGTAACTCCCCTTTGAACCTTCAGTTTTCAAAATGGGATGGACAGTCTGGCACTTTTTCTGAAGGGGAGGGTGGTAGAAAAAAGGCATTTCTAATACTTAATGCTTCTTATTCTTTGGCATTAAGTTAATCGCAGACTACGAGCGAAATCAGTTTTTGCGAATGACCTACGAGAAAGTCGATCTTTCACTGTTTGAAAACATAAAGCTACAAGTAGTTTTTGTGTATTTTGCGACATAGAAACATACGTGAAACTCTTCATGGCGGGATGGCTTCCCAGTAGGAGCGAGAGCCTGTGCGCGAAGAGGGTGGGGTTCAGTGCGACGGGGCTGCGCTCAGCCGCCGAGACCCTGTTCCCCTCGTTTCTCCCCGCAGGTGCATCGCCCCGGATGCGGGGGAGGGCCCTCAGACGGCAGCTCCCGGCGGGCGGGAAGGGCAGCGGCGGGGGG